TTTAATGATATCTTGATAAACTGCTAGTTTAGATATTGTTTCTCTCATTCGCAGCCGGACGGGAGTGTTCTGCCTCAATCTCATCATATTCAACAGCAAATGCATCCATCTCGACAATCTCAGCAATCGCAGTACAATCCCAATATGATGCATCATCAATCACAACCTTCACCATCTCCCTTTCATCATCATCAATCTCAACCTGGTACACCCCAAAACATGCTTCTTCATTCACCATCTCATTTTCCTCAACAACAATCGTCGCAATTTTCACCGTCTGCCTCCGTTCAATCTGCTTCCCATCATCAACTGTTGTTACCTGGTGGTACTAGCTCACCTCAACATCAGACATCACCAAAACAAGAGTCAACAGCATCAACAACAGTAAAAAAATCGACGAAGAAAAAGAATAATAGTGGCGGATTACAACAACAAAAATCAGTGCAATCACAGATTAAACCTGAGCCAATGTCATTCGATGAACAACGGATCACTACAGATGCAGATGAAAAGGTAAACAAAAAACTGGTATAATTTATCTGGAAGAAAGTAATCTATTTTTAATATCTCAATTGTAGCTGCCTGATGGTATGTCGGACAATACACCAATTCCTGAACAAAAAATTAGACTTGATCCTATACTATGTAAGTCAACACTAATTTTTGGAAGTTCGATCGAGAAATTATACCATCGTCACGTTTTTTAAAAACTTTTCTACCATTAATTTAGCTGTTCCTCCGCATGTACTTGAACAAATTGATGAAGTTATTAACAGTGTTGTGCAAGGTGCTGGCAATATTCCTCTATGTCCATTCAATGAAATACTGCCTCCATCAAAAGCTGCAAAACGTCAGTCATCGATGACAGTTCAAGAACAACAACCATCGACACCTACTGACTGGTATACATCTCCATCTCCTCAACAGCAACAGGCTACATTTAACATTGGCACAAATCAACATCAATTTCTTCAACAACATTCACAACAACAACAACAACAACAGCAACAACGTATGTTTCCTCAAAATGTGAATGATTTTACGTGCACAAATGTGATCAATGCTACACAGTCCGTCGGAATGATGTCGAATCCAACAGAAAATGTCGTAGCTGAAAGAATAACGTCAATATTATCGCATGAACAACAGCAGCAGAAGAATACAAATTTAATTTTACATAAAAATCAGCTGAATCAACAAATTATAAATACAAGTAATAAAAAATAGACGTGGTTAAATGATGCGCCATTTTTGTATGAGATAACACCAGACAGAAAGCATGAAATTTTTTTGCCAAATGAAACATACAATATGTATCTGGATAAAACTACAAGGGAGTCATAACCCCAATTTTGTGATCTTCACCATACACCCTCTGGGTACTGGTATCATTAACTAACTAACTAACTGAAACTACAAGATATATTAGAAGAGTTTTTTTGTGTATATTTTAAATTTTTGTCATATGTAAACTTTACTTTGTTTTTCTAGGCACATCCACATCATTATCTGATCAGACATTTTCATTAGAAGATTTACTTGAACGCGATTCAAAAGATAAATCAAGGTACACTTTCTTGTTTCTTACTGAATCACCGTAACATAAATGATTCATTTTAATGTAGATCGGACTGGATGGTGGCTGAAGTTCAAGCACATTGTCGTTCGAATCAACAACAATCGCAACAATATTCGTCATTAAAAACTCCATCTCAATCATCGTCCAACTCAAATTCTTCTTGCTCTCTTTCACAACAACAACAACAACAACCACAAGTATTAAGTTTAGCCCATGCGGTTCATTTACTTCGTCAAGCTATCACGCATCCGACATATCAGTCATCTCCTCCTCCACAATTACCAGGTCTTTGCTTACCAGGTAACATCCTAGCTCGCATTACTTTGTTTATCTTTTCATTGAATCGTATACATTTTCAGATACAGAATGTTTGGATTCTGAGAATATTTTGGATCAATTTGAAAAATATTCTAAATGGTTAAAACAACGTCGAGAAATTATCACATTGAGAATTAAAGCAGATGAAACAAATTTAGCTGATATTAAGAAAAAACGAAATATTCTAACTAAAAAACACAAACAAGTAAGTATTAACTGTAAGAACAATGATTCAGTATAATATAAATATTTGTTTTATCAATACTCTTTTGTTTCATTATAATGATAAATTTGTTTTTGTTTATTTTAGTCTATGTTGACAGATGAAGAAGAACAAGAAATGCCTCGTTTAGCTCAACAACAAACAGAATTTTCTCGTACATTAACAACAATGAGAAAAGAACGAAAACAATTTGATGAATTAGAGCAAGCATTTAGTATTTATAAACAGGTAAATATATTAACTGTCTACATTCTATTCTTAGTATTATTATTGTTATTTTCTAGAGTCGTTTTAAGCCATTATTTGGTAGTAATAGTAATAAATCATCACCAAATGAATCAACTGATACGAATTCTGTTGTTAAGTATGTTTCATTTATTCATTTTTTAATATTATAAGTAATATTCGATATTTTCTCTATATATTATTCTAGATTATTATCTATTGATCGTCAAATGAGTAATCCAAGTTCAGTATTTGTTAAACAAGAACAATTATCACAACAGTCATTATACCAACAACAATCTCAATCTCGATTTTTAAATGAATCAAATGAACATGAAAAAAATTCAAGAACACAAGAATTATTTTCAAATGTAAAGTATTTTTATAAATATCAAGAGTGAACGAACTGATAATAATTATAGTTTGTAATTTTTCTTTAGGAAGAACCTGATGATTATGACGGTATGAATCATTCACCACATCATAATTTAACTCGTTATGGTACCGTTAATCGAGAGCAAAAAAGTTTAGGTAAGTTAGTCAAAAATATGAACATTGTTTAACATCTCGGCTTGTCCAAATGTTACGGAATTACTTTTTTTCAACTTTCACGTGCCATAACTTTTCTGAGAATGATCCAAATGCAATGACGCTTTTATCAGAGGTAGACAGTACCGAGTTTTATCACGTCCGAAAATTTCGGTGAGTTTGGATCATCCGATAAGGAGTTATTAAAAAAATAACGACCGAAAATGGACTTTTTTTTTCAGTGATGTCTAAATTTTACATTTTTCTGCTCAATGAAAGCTTTTTTTGAGATGTGCTCTGAAGCAAAGTTGTGTAGCTTGGAACCAGCTTTCAGAATATCCACTTGGTTTTCGATTAGAATCCCTAGATGATATAAAAATTTGAAAAAACAGTCCGTTACGGAATTACAGCTTTTTTTGGTTCTTTCAAATCAGAAGGTTAAACTCCATTACAAAAGTCGTCATAGAAAAATATTTCCGATAGCAGTAGACAGTATCTGATCTTTCCGATGCACAGTAGAAAAACGTTCTGAAATCGTTTTGGCTTGGAGAAAAACCCGTTTCAAAGCTTGGTCTTTCGAAAAACCAACTTTCTTGGAAAGCACCTAAACTCAAAAATAAATACACTATCTTATAGAGAATGTAATTCTCTACAAAATACCATATCTCTTAATGTTTTTCGCGGAAATATCTAGGTCAGGAAATTAAAAATAAAATTTGGATTTCATTTTTTGAGGCCAAAATTTAATTTTTTGGAAATTTTAAGTTGATATTCGAAAGCAGCTTCAAAAATTACGTTAGACGATGTGCTTCACAAATTCTTAAAGTTAAAAAAAATTTTCGAACCATCTTAAGTGAAAGTGACCGTTAGCTGGACAGGCGGATCTAGTATGAGAAAAAAAGATAGATTCACTCTTTAGAATTATTTGACACATTACATTGTGCCCGACGAATAGATGTGCATCTATTTTATTTTTATTCTATTCTTTTCTACCATCATTCTGATCCTTTACCCTTTATGTAATCTACTATTTTTCTTTCCAAACAAACTAAATGTGACTTTCTTTTCTACTATACGCTAAAATTTCCATGTATTTTTATCGTTTAGGTTCATTTCCTGTTTTGCATGGTACTGGTTCAACGTCCTATTTTTCATCGACCACAATTGCCGCATCATCTAGCGACAAAAAACCATCACAACCACGCAAGAAAAAATCACCATTATCTCAACCCACATTTAAAAGTCCAAATAATCAGCAACAACCGTTAATCGATCATTTATTAAGTAGTTGCAGTAGTGGTGAGGATTTTAAATCTTGTACAACACCTTCACCATCAATTTTAAATGATTTTCAACCGTGTCTCTCACCATTACCTCTCCCAAACCTAGATGAACATCAATCATTAAGTACTACAATAGAAGAAACAACAATGGCTCGTACGCCGTTAACTCAATCAATGTCTTCGACAATAAATGATTTTTTTAATCCACCAAGTGAAAAACAAGAAACACTTGAACCAGCTGAAGAAGACAATAATAACTTTGATGACGAGGAGGATGACACTCGTGAACAGCGAGAGTTACACAATAATGATAATGTTACTCTCGAGCAAGAAACAACAGAAAATCTATTGGAACATTGATAGAATGATACTTTATGCAATTTTTTTTTCTCAGTATTTTTTCAATTTCTATCCCTTTCTTCTTACTTCACTTGTTCTTTTCTTTTTTTTCTCTTTTTTTAGATAGTTATTTATTTCTAAAATCCTAATGATATCTATTTTTTTTTCATTTAAATGTGTGTAATGAATTTTTCTTTCGCTCGTAATGAATCGTTCATTGTTGTTGTTTTTTGACATTTTGTTTTTTTAATTTACACGTACTATTTTTCGTCTCTTCTTGTATATAGGGTACACTAGACATACATATTTTTTTTTCTCTTCTCTAGCAAATACCATAAAAGATAATTTCGTCTGCATGAAGCAAACGTATTTTGGATGGGAATGAAATGCGCTTAGTATAAGATTGGTTGATGGTAGCTTAGTGAGACAAAGAATATAATTGTAAAATGATATTAGATGATGAAGATATTGTTACCCTATTGTAAAATAAAGAGAGAAAATGATTTGGCGATATTTACTCCACTAGTACAGTGTCGTTTACGATTGCTTGTTCTTCTTATCGGAGCAATTGAAATATAATTATTAAGACTGATCAATTAACTTCTCTATTATTCGTCTTTTAGTTGCATTTGATCGTTACACTCATCATTTTTTTTTGCTCAAAACACCTATAGCGTTAATTTTTCTCTGTTGTTTGCTTTTCTCTCAAAATAATCTTTCTACAGAGACGTATTTATTCTCTATCATTTTTTACTAGTTTTTGTTTGTAATTTAGTCGCGATAATCACAGTGAACAAAACATTGTTTGACATCTCTCGCTCCCCATATTTGACTCTTTTCTCATTTGTTTTTTTTGTACATATTTTCTGATTGACATTCTTTCTAGACAAACAAAACGCATTGGTTGTTTTTTTATACCATTACCTTTTTTTCTTTCCTATCTTCGTATAATGATATCCATCTATCTACATATATATATATATATATAGGCTTTTGTCAGTATGCGTGCATGCATTCGTCATCTGTCGTTTTTTTTTTTAGTGTAAAACAAAAACTAACAGGAACACATCAACTACTCTATTTCTCTGTTTTTTAAGAAAAACAAAGCATATTGTACAACTGTGATTATATAAAAAATAGAATAATATATTGAATAAAATTAATCGTTTGTACAACAATATGTTAGATGTGGATAACCACATCAACAACGTGTCTGGAATAGAAGGACAATCAGTGGCAACTATATACTTTCACGCAAATTTTTAATACAGTTCAGAAAGTCTCATCCAACAGTTTCTGTTATAATTGTCCACACACACATACATAAGCATTTTACGATCGATAAAATACTCGAAACTCAAAAATCTATACTAAAAATTTGATATGCAACGCGAAAACCACAGATAAGAAAGTTGAAACGTCACGAAGATATTGAAATTGTACGAAGAGCCCCAAAAAACATGAAAATCACTAACTTGAAAAATGGGCAACTTTGAGCGCATATAATTCGGCAACAATACTTGATTTAGACTTGAAGTTTTTTTATAACTATTACATACTGTGTACTACAAGATGACACAATCTTAAGCTGTAGTTTCGAACGAAAGTAGTTCCATTCGGCTACAACAGATATTACACTTAGAACCCTAAGTCCGAGTCTAATCAACCTGACTTCTGATTCATCCTCTCTTTTGTCCTCTTTTCAAGTCTGTTTTCCTCTTCTGTTTTTTCTAAGAATATTAAAGAAAAGTATCAAAATCTGAAAAAAATAAATAGAAATTACCTTGAAAGAACACATTTGACAAGCAAAAGAACATTCCTATGCTTCGCGTGTATAACAAGCGCTTAGTTTGGCATGAAAAATACTTATCGCTGGATGCCTGCTTCAATCTAATAAAAGACTTGCTGCTCGCTACCGAGGAGAAAAATACCTACCAGTAAATCGGAACGATTATGAGATGTATTTTCTACTTTTCTCACAGCGGTACCTGTATTTCTCGTTCGTCTTCTGTTCAACGTTTCATGTTATTCAAGTATGTGAATAAGATTAGCAAATTTTAATATTATATTACTAAAAACAATGCAAAGTAACCGAAATCGTTAAAGAAACTGCATGGAAACTGACACAAAAAATCGATCGACTACCTTCATCTCTATATAATTTTCTTTTTTAAATTCTATCGATATATAGAGATAGCTTTTTTATCTAAGAACAGTTGCGAGAGATGCAGCTGTCTAATCGAAGATTTGTGCATTGGATTTCTAGAGTGGACAGTTAGATTAGTTTAACAGTTTATCTTTAAAGTCAGATATATATGTTAAAAGTATACTTATGTTTATGCAGTATTTTGCTTTTTTCTATTTGTTGGTTTTTAAGTGTGCGAACGGCTATGGTGTTTCAATATTTTAGTCATTAAATTAGCTTAGTGGTTGATTCAAAGGTATATATATCCTGTCTAGTTTAATAACAACTGCAATTTAGTGTTCATTTGTTTCTGACTTGTTATTTCAGATTTGATTCATATAATTTTTGGCGAAAAACTTCAATTTTTCAGCAGAAGGGGAATTTGATACAGATGCTTGATAAGTTAGGTTTTGACCCGAAATGACGTGCCACAGTGATTTTCGGGCTGAAAAATCCATTCCTCTTTTTTTACTTCAAATCTTCTTTAAAAAAAATACCGAATCCTCTTTCATTCTTCTTTTTTCAGAAGATTGCAATCGGAGGCCAGTAATCAACTTCAAGAATGAGATGAAACTATGTATTCTCTAATTCAATAAATTTTACTTAAATCAGACTCAAATCAAGATGATTTGTTTAAACATTTATTGAAGAACAATGAATGAGAAAAAAAATGATGTATAAAATTGAATGCTGTACACAAAATGTTCGTCTAATCATTCAAACACCGATCGGTCAAATTGAAACAAGTGACAACTTCCACTAAGTGTGCAAAACACCTGGAAAATATCCATTATAAACGACATAATGACAGTATTGTCTGTAATTTCTATGATAAAACCTGTTAACACCGGCTGTTGCTTTTTAGAATTATCTCAAGTGATAAAATCTTTTTAGTTTACAAAGCTAACACTGTCCAATTGGACTAACTCATGTTTATTACAGTTAGGTTAAAAATGCTATTTATTATTGCTGATTGTAAAATGACATTTTCTTACTAAATTTTTTAAAAGTGTTTTGGAAAAATTTGTACTTTTACCGAAATTGTCAACATATTTATTAAACCCTCTTTTTTACCAGTTTCCAGCATATGGTTGTAATTCACGATATTGTGGGCCATGGTAACTCTCTTGGCTGTCACAAATATCACTTAGATATTTATGACGTTGATCGGAATAGGATGACAAGTGACAGTCACAGACTAATTGGTTAAAAACAAATATGTTGAAAGAAGTGACAGTTTGCCGGTAATTAAATATTTTACTACGTATTGGCACTACTATTAAGTTGATCATACATTCCGATTTTTTCCTTCGAGGACATGAATCAAATTCATTGATCTAAATTGACCTTTTAGAAGTTGAACTTCTCAATTAAGCACATAGCAATTTCATGAATATTCCCGCAATTATCTATATCTTTCTTATTTTCACTCATCACACTAGTAAACTAGCAATAACGCCATTCTTCAGCGCAACTGTATTCCTTTTTGAAAAAAAACAAAATTTGCACTAAGATTAACCAGATTCTCTCCGCATTATATTTCTCACTTGTGGTTCAATATGTAACTGTAATATAATCGCAGAAGAAAAATCGCTAAAAAATGCTCTAACAGTTCCTTTGTTTCAAAATACTTCTATTTTCAGCATAATAAATCTTAAACTTTTTTCAAACAATTACTTTTTCAATGCGAACATTTCTCTACAAAATGAGATGTTCCACATCACCCTCACCCTCTCATCATGCAAACATTCTCGGACTTTCAGAGAATAACTGTGGTTAAAAACTTTAGGATCAGTTCGTTGCTGGAGCCAATGTATTATGGATGGCTAGGCTCTAAATGTCTGTGCATCGAATAGTATCGAACCGTTGTTTATCACTGTATCTAGAAAAACACTAATGGTAAAATGAACTTATACCGAAGATAATCACATTACGTGATGATATCAGTCTTTTGCAAATCTCATTTAGTGCATTTTTACTCTGAGATTTTTGCACACTTATCATGTTAAACTAAGTCTATAGACGGGGAAAGTTCTCGAATTTGATGAATTAATTATCTTAGAAAGACTCTTTTTGATTGTCAAAACTAACTAAAGAACGATAATTAAACTTTTTGACAATAGACCGTGGTCCAATTTAATATTTTCCCTTATTTTGAAATACTATATAAAGTAGCTCTATACGAATTAATTTTACGCTAGTTTGATATCGCTCTTTGGTAATATATTTGAACAAGCATGGAAGTTTTTGCCATAACAAATCATTTGTGCATCAAATATTTAAATGAAAATTACAACGTTAGATATTAAAAAACAACAACACAACTTGAGATACTTAGTAAAATATCAGAGAATTTAGGATAACAATTTTATTTATAAACAGTTAGATCTACTTCTTTCGAGCTTCGATAGGTTATAGATAAAACTTAGAGTCTTATTATCATAGTGTACATAGGATACGGAATTTATAATTAGATAAAATTTGACCTTAACCGAGTGTATTCTACTCTTCTTTCTTTATCACACTTCACACATCGCAAGCAAACTTCAATATGTTTTAGTACAAGAGGTCTTCTTAGTATATACAGTAATGGATCTGACGTATAAGTGTAATATTGTAGCACAGCATTATTAGCACAATGAAATCAATATTAATACTGGTAAAGATAGACAAAGTATGATCGGTTGGTTATTAATTCATCTGGTGATATTTCAATTTGTCTTGCCTTCTAAAGGAAGTAACAATAGTAAGCGTAAAATGTATGTATTTTGACGTTTTATTTTGACTTTTGGTCTCTCATTCTAGTTTCAACACAATATAAATTATTTTTACACGAGCACGAGTATCTTCAAGCTCGTGCAGAGCTCAAATTAATTCGTGCGTTATTACATATTGATAATGTTACACAAAGTGAACAATTCAGATCTCTTTATAATCGTCGAGGGGATTTGCATGATACAATGCTATTAGATAAATTACACGAAAAATTACAGAACGCAAAGAAAGTAACATCCAACACCTGTAAAACACATCCAGTACCTATTATCTATTAATATTATGATGATAGATCTGTTTCATTGTCATTTCTCTATAGGTTTTAATAATTGGCTTTTCACCAAGTAGTCTTCGGATGGCTATCGAATGTCTCTATATGGGATGTAGTTGTGTCATCGTATCATCATCAGCCGAGTAAGAAAACGACCAATCGTGGACTAAACATTTTTTTATCTTATATTATCCTTGGAATATATGGTCACTCATCCATTCTACGACGTTAGAACTCTTAGAAGTTTCTTTCTTTGAACAAATTATATCCAATGTTTTACTGGTACTAGCTTTTCCTCTATATTTTTAGTGAAACGTTAATATATCATATGCCTGTATCAACTGAAATGATGAACGATTTAACTGATCATATGCCAATTCTGACGTCTATTATGGAGCTCAATAATCGTCATCCACAAACAAACAAGTCAATGATCAGTTCAAGACGTTTAGCCATCTCACTTTATAAAATTGCATTAATATTAGGCAAGCAGAATATGTTGGAATAGGCCATTTTTAAAGTAAAATCACTTTCCCTCATATTACTATTGAGGAGCAACACTGTCTTCTTTCAACTCCTCGGAGTCATAGTCAACGTTAGTAGGCGGATAGATGGTATCTTCATAGTATTAATTTTCAGATCAAAAAGGAGACAGGGGAGAGCAAAAACGCCGGTTACTTTAAAATTTTCTGTTTTTTGTTGGTATAAAAAGTCAAGCAAAGAGAAAAATATAATACCAGAGAATTTTCAGTAATCATCACTGTTTTGTTTAAGACTAAATGGAACCTCTTCTCTTAGAATGCATATGTCTCAGAGTAATAGAAAATCCTATTGTTGTATTATTTTCTTCTAGGTGTTGAGCATCATGATTCCATTCGATTAGTAACGATTAACAAGACGAGTGCGTACATATTTCCATTGTCTTTTTGAAAATTGAAATGGATCTATCATTTTCAGACCCAGCCACTTTACATTGTACATTTGTACATTCAGCGACGAATGAGATTAATCATTCAATACAGGTGATAAATTCTATGGTATTTAGTGCTATTATTGGTGGTCTAAGAAGAGAAACAACCATACCAGGTTAGAAAAACAAGAAAGGAAACCAATGACGACCAGCAAAAAGTTTTCTATTGAATACTAGATTAGGAATGTGATAGTTTCAGTTTAGTTGTTTTGAGCTAGACACATTCATACATTTCAAAGATAAGTGAAAACTGAGCAAAATCTGTTTAGAAGAAATTTTTAAACAAATGTAACCATTATAATGATAAAGAGATCTTTGCGACTTTTTGAGGCTAAAAATAAGTTATAAAAGTTTAGTTTCACAAAAAAAATTCAATATCAAATTCAATATCAAAAAAATTAATCAATATCAGTTCAACACAACCGGTAAAACGAGAAGAACTAGTGACCAGTTTTTCGATCGGTTTTCAAAAATAGAACTGCACACCTGCTATGCTAGATTTACTATCTTGAAGAAATATATATCATAGAAACAGTTTTTTCACATTTTCAAATCTATTATTGTAGGTTTTTATCCGAAACCTATGCAGTGTAATCCATCATTTGCCGTTTTGGCTACTTTTAAACAAAAATCAGCTAACGAAAAAGTAAATAGTCATAGTAACCACCGCCATAACGACAAATCTGTACTCTCTCCCGTTCAACACCTACCAATGTCATCCAGTAATCGAAGTCAATTGAAAACCAAACATGAACCAACTTTTATGTACAATCACTTTGATAACGACTTATATCATTACTTTGTACTTTACACAACTAAACCAGACTGGATACATGTGAGTCTAAGTCCTCTTTTCACGGTAACAGAAAAACGTCTCGTGACAGCGTTATAATTTTATTTGCACGATCAGACCTCGACTAGTAGCGTGTCGACTAGACAGATCTGATCGACCAGAAGAAAAATAGACATAATATTAGAACTATTATATTTGATTATTTAAAAATTTCATTTTTTCCCATTAAATAAAAGTATTACAATATTGAAGGGTATATAAAAAGTTACTATTTTTTTGCGTAGCCATTTTTTCCTAAAGCAGTTTCAATAAAATCTCAACGTAGGAATGTTCGAAAGATACTAGATCTAGTAGGACTTTTTTAAATAATTGACCGAGATCTGATTATAGTGAACAACTCAAGACTCAATGTCAATTCTTTATTGATATACCTTGATTGAGAAAAGTCGGCATTTTTCCTCGGGTAAATTTCGATCTGAATGGTATTGACTGATATGATTAAACGCTTCGATCAGTTAGCGATATTCTGAACAGCATTTCTTCTCATCCATTATTATAGGCTAATCCATACGTTTATGGTAATCCGGTATATGCAAACGAATTTCCACTTTCATGGAAGTATACAAAAACCGTTATGAACGAAAAATGTTATGGTTATCTCCAGGAACACCGTCCACAATGGGACTTGTATCAGTCTCATTATAAAGACAAATCGTTTTCATGTGATAGTATCATTGTTAATGTAAGGATTACACTAGATCGATATTCAGCCGTGATCGATAGAAATAATACTCGAATATTATTTGCTATTCTCGATGACCAAATTGATATGGTAAGAATAGAGAGAAGCAAATAAAAAACTAGATTAACATTTATCGATGATGTATCTGATAAGAAGGTCTCTAAATAATAAACAGGTCTTGTTTGTCTCAGTGGCATCTATTTTGCCTAGAGCAGTAGAAATTATATAACACGCAGACAATTATTCTTCAATTCTGGATCTATTTCAAGTGCCACGTATTTACTCTATTTTATCAAGTAATTCAGTAATTATTTCATTTTTCTTTTTCGCCCTCAAACAAATTGTCCCCAATTGTTGCATGGTTCACTGTCTCGAATCAGGCTCATTTACTCTATCGGTACCTGATGAATCATCCAATAAACGAAATATTAGCTGAAAACAAAGTCTCGATGGATAATCTTAATGCAATTGCAGCTAAAGTAATCGAATTACCATCCGAATTCAATTTTATCCCGGGATATTTCGTTAAGTAAGTAGAACACCCTAACGGCTTATAAGTGGAACGCTATAACAAAATTCCTTATAGCCATATTAAAACTTGCACGGAATGTACTTGGTTCTTTAATATTTCAAGTATTTCTTGGGTACAGTTTACTGTACTCAGACTTTAATAGCGCTTCAACAGATCCATATATACACTTTTATAATATGACAATAATCAGTTCTTTCTCAAACGTTTGTTGGAGCTCACCGGATTATTAGAGATGGGTCATTCTATGCATTACTGTTTGCACTTTAGACCTAAATATATCCGTTATGAAACAAGGATCTACTCATTTAAGAAGCATATTCAAATTTTATGTTCTAGAATAACTCGTAGTCATTGGACAGATCCGTGGATAAGAACAGATAACGATACTGCACGTATGCAAACCAATCTTACTTACCCAAACTCGCCTGTATCTCACAATCTTTTCTTCTGCAGCTTTCTACATGCCGTTCCATAATCCTTCTCAACAAATAGTGCATCATAAGCAGCAAACGAAACGTAAGCTAACATTAATAGATTGATGAACTGCGCAGAAGGCCGTTATCAACAGATTCAATTTGATTTTGCTCTTTATACTTCTCATTCACTTTTATTGTTCTCTGTACTTACTTTTCCGTGCTTACTGGCTTTTCTCTTCTGAACTGAGGACCGTATTCCCATCTTTATGTGCCTCTTCAACGAGATCAGTGGATCAGAACTGGGGACAATCGATGGATTATTCGAGGTATAATTATAATAAGGGTTTCTTTTAGTTTCTTGTTCCTGATGAAAGTGTGATTTGATTTGATAGCAAACGCGACACAGGAGCAAATAGACGATTTCAAGAAATAGAAAGAAAACAGAGAAAAAAACAAGAAAACAAACTTCGGTAAAGAAAACTACTGCACTTTGGCGTTTTACGTGCTAAGGCTCTTTGGATCCGAACAAAATATGTACGATTATAACATTTAAAAGGTCATTCTCTTCTTTGTCTACTGTGTACTCTTATCATCGATAGTGGGATGTCTCACAAAATGTTAACACTAAAAATGAATGAAAAGTTTGAAAGATAAAACCAAAAAACTACGCGATTGGTTAACGATGTCTCTTTGATCTCTATTCTGACTAATTTTGTTTTAGTTTATCGAATAAGAAGTATATCTTTCTCTGCTTTTTAGAACTGACTACTAGTGAGTATTCATCAGTTCTTTCTCAATGGTTAATATATTGTTAGACTCACGGTTGTCGTTCTTAGATGCAGTGAATAATGATATATTAGAAGAAAAAATAAACAGTAAGTTTGAATAATAAATGCAACATTATAGAAATTGAATATTAGATCTGTCTTTATTCACGCAATATTTATTTATTTTATGTACTTTTTTAGAAATTATCACCAGTACCACAGTGAAAATAAAACGTAGGTTAAAAGGACGAGAATGATCTCTCACTACTTTCGGTAGTGACTGTCAAAATCAATCGTATGATACACGTTTTCGTTTTTATAGACGATTTCGAGAACTGGAAAGACAGCACAAAAGAAAATGGGAAAATAAACTCAGGTAAATAGAACAATCCCTAGGGGATGCTCAGTTTGCCTGGTCAGACATCTGTAAGTAAAAAAGTTCTTGATTGTTTCTTTGCTTGATCAGTGAAAGAAATCAAGACCGCGAGCTTGTTGTATATGTGACAGTGGAAATTGAAATTCAGGGGAATTCGGAATTCCACTAGTGGAAATTGGAATTCCAATCTCCACTAGTCTAAATTAGAATAAAGTGACTATTCTAATTTCAACTAGTGGAAATTGGGATTCTAATTCCTACTATAGTAGAATTCCGAATTCCACTAGAAATAAAAAGTATACAGATTATTCTAATGTACACTATAGTGGAAATCGGAATTTACTATAATACAGTGTCAATAGAAGTAAAAATTGAAAGAATTGAACAATATACACTAGACTATCCTTTATTAATGAAACAGGAAAAGAAATAGAACATTGTATCAAATACAAGATTTATCGAATTTAACAAAATGTAACTTTAATGATTTACGTACGGCTGATCCATCAGCATTACCAACAAAAACATTCATTCAAGCTTGTCAGAAATATATGTGTATTATTTCCGGTGTAGATATGGTAGCAGAAGCTTGGCATTGTAAAGGTCAATGTGCGACGAAACATTGTCCATGTAAAGCCAAAAATGTAAACTGTGGTACGAAATGTCATAGCAGTAAAAAACAACTTTGTTCAAACGTTTAGTGATTTTAATACATAATACACATATAAATAAATAATATATAATAAATAAATTATAGAAAATTCCGATTTCCACTATAGTGTACATTAGAATAATCTGTATACTTTTTATTTCTAGTGGAATTTGGAATCCCACTATAGTAGGAATTAGAATCCCAATTTCCACTAGTTGAAATTAGAATAGTCACTTTATTCTAATTTGGACTAGTGGAGATTGGAATTCCAATTTCCACTGTCATATATATATGTAAAATTAGGTGTGCTGCTCGCTTATCGTGGTCACTATATACTGCGCGACTTAGCAAAACAAAACGGTGATTGTGAAACAAAACAAGATCTAAGTAGATCCGTCCCTGTCTCGCTGAAAGTCAGATCTAATGGTTTTCACAGTGCTCACATAGATCTTAGTACAGTGCAGGCTGGTAAATCTGTCAGTTTGAAACTTTTGACATAGACAAACAATTTTATTCAGTAAACATACTTGTTTAACAAGGAGCTCAGCGAAACAAAGGTGATGAAGTAAAGTAGAACTGAGGTCAAAACGTAACGAATGAACTGTGAACGCTAGAATAATCATCAATTAATGGACTTTCTTTTGTCTTTATAATACAACGTTTTAGAATAAGGTGTAGTAGTAGTAGTACTAATAGTGATTGGTATGTAGTTGATTAATAAACCTTTTCTATGCGTGGTTTTAAAAGATCGGATATACTAAAAGCTTAACGGGGCTCGAGCTATAGTTGCGAGACAGGGTAAAAACCTATTTTTGATCTTGACCTGACCAGTGTTTTTTTCGAAAAATGCCAAGACCAAACAAAAAAAGTCAACACCAGACCAAGATTTACTGTTTGTCTGATCAGTAGAAAAAGCAGACTATCTTGATCTGATCTTATTATCCTCTTGTTCTGACCTTGGAGTGAAACAAAACAACAACAAAAAAACAGGAAACAGACACCTGTAAGTAAATAAGTCTTCACTCCATTTTCAAGACCAGACAAACCGGACATTCTCTACGGATTGCACTTTGGCGTATTACGTGCCAAAGCTCTTTGAATCTGAACAAAATGTGTGCGATTATAGAATTTAAAAGGCAATTCTCTTCTTTGTCGCGTTTGTATTATTATCATCGATAGTGGGATTAGACCAGTGATTGGAATGTCTTCTGCTTTCGTCTGCTTATTGGAGCGAAAACTTCAATCATCCCATACGTACAAGTTACAACAAAGAAAAGTGGAAATTATTGAACACCTCAGTGTTCCAGAATACGAAGAAAGATGTGATTGTATGTGATGCATATATCTAGAACACCACAAAATTAGTTTTCTATCAAATATCATGTGATTGCGGTAGTGTACACAATGGCAAAGCGTAAGTGGGCTTTGTAAAAAAGAATGAAGAAACATGAGAAAATTGTTCAAAAAGATAAAAATGAATCACCACCATAAAAGGTGTAACATTATCATAGAAGAGATACCTACGTATGCATGCTTCCGAACGTACATTCATTTCATTCATCGTTAAACAGTAACTTTAATAGAAAGAAGAAAAATCAAAGAAACAGTTTACTCATCCGTCAATCAGTCAATAATCGTGGTGTGGTCGACAAAGTGTGGTTAATCTGGTACTCAACAGTACCATCAATCATTAAAACAGTTGTTCAGTCAAATTTTTATAACTGCACATATTTTGCTCAGACGGAAAGGGCTTCGTCTCACAAAATATTAACACTAAAAATGAATGAAAGGTATAAAAGATAAAACCAAAAAACTACGCGATTGGTTAACGATGTCTCTTTGATCTCTATTCTGACTAATTTTGTTTTAGTTTATCGAATAAGAAGTATATCTTTCTCTGCTTTTTAGAACTGACTACTAGTGAGTATTCATCAGTTCTTTCTCAATGGTTAATATATTGTTAGACTCACGGTTGTCGTTCTTAGATGCAGTGAATAATGATATATTAGAAGAAAAAATAAACAGTAAGTTTGAATAATAAATGCAACATTATAGAAATTGAATATTAGATCTGTCTTTATTCACGCAATATTTATTTATTTTATGTACTTTTTTAGAAATTATCACCAGTACCACAGTGAAAACAAAACGTAGGTTAAAAGAACGAGAATGATCTCTCACTACTTTCGGTAGTCACTGTCAAAATCAATCGTATGATACACGTTTTCGATTTTTTAAGCCTTATTTTAAATCCATAATGCTTTGCTAATAATAGCATTTGAAACTACGTTTTGATAACAACCTTTGTAAAGCAGTAGAATATCGTATAGTTTTTTCTTAGAATAATATATTGTAAAGTGTGATTTAAAGCGACTTTCCAAAACTGGTAGTTGGAGAATTTCTGAGAGAGCATATAGATGATCTAGATATCTGCACATAAATTTTTATTTTGTATTTGGTATGTAGGATATAAAGTTTCGTCAACCGACGTTTGAGAGGCCCGACACTTGAGCGACTGCAACATTAGACACTTTTCAATATGACTTTTTTCCGATCACACAAATGGAATGATTGTTCACTGCGATAACGATGATGATAACAATTTCTTTGTTGTCCGATTATGAACTGAATTATCGGGTGATGATAAGGGTGAGTTCCTCACCCCTCACCACTTTTCCCAAGTAGCAGTATAAATGATACCGCTATACATGTTCACGATAACTAGCATGAATTACGACTACTGGAATGAATTTCTGGTACACTTTAGAATATTCCATCAAAGGAATAGAAAATAAAAATTTATGTGCAAATATCTGGGTCATCTATATGCTCTCGCAGAAATTCTCAAACTACCAGTTGTAGAAAATTGCTTTAAATCCAGATTTATGATATATTATTCTAAGAAGTGTTCTGTCTATCGGCATACTTAAAACTAATATGTAATCCATGTTTAAACGCATGTTAAATTCAAAAACTCAAATTTCGTAGAGTTCTAGCGTCAACATGCGAAACTCGACTTTTTACTGTTTTCGTCCCTATGGTCAATATTAAACAAGTCTCTGAGAAACCATGAAAAAAGAGCGATATAATTCATGATCGTTTAGATAGCTCACATAGAAGGCTAACTTGTGGCAATATTAGAATATTTAAATCCCTCTTTTATATAATCATATGTGAAGGAAGAAATTTTTTCTGTCACCGTACATTCAATATTGACAGCCACTGTGAATATTTATCCATGTATGCCAAACTTTGAATCCAGCTTTGAGTGACATGGTTTGAGTATTTGAATTCGAACTATAACTGATCTCAGAGGTATCATTGCGTACTTTTGACTCGTTAAAAGATCTGTTTGAAATCTCAACGTAAGAAGTGCATCTTTTTCGTCTTCTAGCATGTCTTTTATCTCTCCTCTAATTTTGTTTAACTTACATTTTCTTTTACTATTTTAGCTGTATCGCAACATATACAAAGTGAATCAGTATTTTGTATTGAAGCAATGATCACACTGTGCACTCAAACTATACCAACTCTTGCATATAACATGGTTCCGAGTTTTTATTGTTTATTCTATCTAAAACTTGACAAATTCTAGAAGATTTAGCTTGTACAAGCTTTTCCGTTTAAAGCACAGTTCCCTTAGCCGACAATGTAAATGCAAATTTTCACAATGATTAAATCTCTTTATACTTTTCTTCAAGATACAAGTTGTACTTGTAGCTTAATGGCTTTTTCTTCTGAATTGAGGACCCTATTCCCATCGTTATGTGCCTCTTCAACGAGATCAGTGGATCAGAACTGGGGACAATCGATGGATTATTCGAGGTATAATTATAATAAGGATTTCTTTTAGTTTCTTGTTCCTGATGAAAGTGTGATTTGATTTGATAGCAAACGCGACACAGGAGCAAATAGACGATTTCAAGAAATGGAAAGAAAACAGAGAAAAAAACAGGAAAACAAACTTCGGTAAAGAAAACTACTGCACTTTGGCGTTTTACGTGCTAAGGCTCTTTGGATCCGAACAAAATATGTACGATTATAACATTTAAAAGGTCATTCTCTTCTTTGTCTACTGTGTACTCTTATCATCGATAGTGGGATGTCTCACAAAATGTTAACACTAAAAATGAATGAAAAGTTTGAAAGATAAAACCAAAAAACTACGCGATTGGTTAACGATGTCTCTTTGATCTCTATTCTGACTAATTTTGTTTTAGTTTATCGAATAAGAAGTATATCTTTCTCTGCTTTTTAGAACTGACTACTAGTGAGTATTCATCAGTTCTTTCTCAATGGTTAATATATTGTTAGACTCACGGTTGTCGTTCTTAGATGCAGTGAATAATGATATATTAGAAGAAAAAATAAACAGTAAGTTTGAATAATAAATGCAACATTATAGAAATTGAATATTAGATCTGTCTTTATTCACGCAATATTTATTTATTTTATGTACTTTTTTAGAAATTATCACCAGTACCACAGTGAAAACAAAACGTAGGTTAAAAGAACGAGAATGATCTCTCACTACTTTCGGTAGTAACAAGTTGTACTTGTAGTTTAATGGCTTTTTCTTCTGAATTGAGGACCCTATTCCAATCTTTATGTGCCTCTTCAACGAGATCAGTGGATCAGAACTGGGGACAATCGATGGATTATTCGCGGTATAATTATAATAAGGATTTCTTTTAGTTTCTTGTTTCTGAAGAAAGTGTGATTTGATTTGATAGCAAACGCGACGCAGGAGCAAATAGACGATTTCAAGAAATGGAAAGAAAACAGAGAAAAAAACAGGAAAACAAACTCCGGTAAAGAAAACTACTACACTTTGCGTTTTTCGATTTGGAAAATAAAAAAAAGTGAATGGGAGACGTGTGTTAAGTCTATCGGTGAAAGAATAATTTCTGCGCTATCTTTCACTGATTTATTCGCTGTTATCTAAGGGTACTGCTTATAATAATGATTGCTATGTCATCGTAAGCTGGTGATGTAGTTAGTCTAGTGATTTAGTGCACATGTCTCTAGTCTTCTTAAATGGAGGATATTAATATATCCGTTTATCAATTTTAGCATAATTAAACGTCATAAAAATTAACAGTCACTGAGATGTAAGCATAAGATGAATTATGCAATTTTTTCGCCTGAAGCAGGAATTTGGCACAGAATCTGATTTTGCCACTGATATTTTCGGCCGATACAGTATATATTTTGCTAATTACTTTCTCTAGAAAATGAGTTATTTCTTTTTGCAGTTGCTGTAGTTTTTTTGACTCTTCATATTTTGTGTAAGTGTGTGTGAATTAGTAATCGATTTAAGTAATTTGTTGAATAATTTTAGTAAAAATGAATGTGTCATTGGCATCAATAGGAAGAATACAAAAAGAAAAGTGAGCATATTAAATTAACATATATTACAAAAAAGAATTTCTTGAGGAACTAATTTCGTTGCAAATGCAAAAAATGATTGCATTTTCAATGGTATTTTGTACATAGATAAAATAAATGTAGTTTGAAATATTATAATAATATAGTAAAAATATATAATAAACATAGAACTTTTTTATAATTGCAATGGTGGTACATCATCATCATTTTCTTCACCATGGAATGATTCATATGGAACTATGACTGTAAATAAGGATAGATCAAAATTAGTGTGAACATTAATGAAGAGTTGTAGTTGATCACAACTAAATAACAAAGAGAATGAACACAAATCATTTTTTCGTTAAAAGTGGTTTATTTTATTTTACATTTTTATTTAATAATTATTGTAGAATCAATTCCAAAAAAATTATATTTGCGTTTAGGTGATGGGAACTGATGTTTTCTTTTTAAATCAATGTATTATCGATATAGGCATCAAAGCTAACATTTTTAGGTTGTTTCTATGTACTGTGATTGGTGAAAAGACATTCCCACTTAAGGTTCAATCCTATGTGATACGTTTTTTAGATCCGGATTCGACGAAACTTCCGAAAAATGTTGATCCTATCAAGGTATAGTTACGATAAAGTTTGGAAGGTCTATCTATCATGGTTCAAGAAACGTTGCTAAAATGATGGCTGAATAGGGAGTTTATATTTCTCAAAACTTCACCATTGGATTACATGTTCGAAAGTTGGAGGGTGTGTTAAAATGGCGTAAACACGTATAGCTAGAGACTAGTAAAAACTGATTTTTAAGTAGTTTGAATTGTAGAGTTATTGGAGGATTGGAAAATTTTTGAAACACTGATTTGTAAATTCTTCAAAAACAATTCACTAATTCAAAATCAAAATTTAAGAATCGAGCTTTATTAGCCTCTAGCCACATGTGTTAATTATAATTTAAAATAAACCCGAGTTCCCCTCTCCACACTGTAAAAAAATCCGGTTTTATCCGTCTTTCGATTTCGTCCGTCTTATTTCTTTTCATTCATCGAATTTTAACACGCTTGTTTCTGCAGGCCGTTCTTCCGTCTTACTTCTATAATTGATGAAAAAATCATTTATCTCTTTTGTTTTGCCATTCGTGTATAAAGAACAATGATCTATTCTAAAAAAGTTTCAATTTACTTTGAGCTCTACTAAAACCGTTGATATGGTCAGTACTTGAGGTGCTCTCACGGTCCCCCACTAAAAGTACACTTCAGCTGCTGATAATAGAACTAAGATATAAAAATAGCTCACGTTAAAGTAAGACGGATAAGTTTGTTCGTTTTAAAATAAAGTGGCATACATTGGTTGCGAAATAGTCGGGTCGACTCGTTTTACTATAAGACAAATCGACTCGACTATTTTTCCCAACCAACGTATGCCACTTCGTTCTAAGACGAATTTATTTTTAGAGTGCAGCATGTAATTTGGTGGTGAAAGAAGAAAAAGGCAAAAATATTTTTTATTTCGAACGGTGAAGTATATCTCAGTTATATGAGATATATACAACTTGTTCACATGTTGGTAGAAAGAAGGGGTCCGCATAAGATAGACTGATAATTGATCCACTTTATTTTTTTGCTGACAATACGTAGTAGAAAAATATTTCTATTTGACTTTAAGTCATTTTGCGCGCTTTTCGTGATTAAAACTACTAGTAAAGACTAAAATCCAAGTAATTCCTCGCCAACAGATCATCCTTCAAAGATCAGCTACAGATTACATAAAAGGTGTTTTTCTCATGTAAACGACAAAATAAATGTATGGTTAGATAGCCCGTGAAATTCTCTACGAAATGTGTGTAAAATAACAGTTAACCGTAGTGTTTTGATAGTGTTAGGAGGCGTAGAATAATCGTACATATACAATATAGTAGACAGTCCTCGCTTGTGCGGTCACTTTTTCTCTCAAACAAGAAAACATATCTTTCTATTATACATCATTTTGAAGCTCATGAAATTTGCTACAACCTCGCATGTTTGAAACGTCAAGATCGGTGGAATCAGTCCCTAGAAAATGAATCAGAAGTAAATCGACTAGGTAAAAATGTGACGTACTTTCAGTTTTTACTAATTCTTACATTAGTAAAGAAACAAGTATATTTTGTGTCATATACCATTTTAAAACTCGTCGAATTTCCTACAAACTGAGCTATGTACGATATCTTGATCAGTAAGTTCAATCTCTGTAGTTCTAGGTGTGGTATCAGTTTTGCTGGGAGCCCCAAGACTGATATTGGGTGACATCGGATAACCTCTGAAATAAATGGAAACATATGTTATCGACCATACTGAATCTCGTGCTAATGTTTTTTTTTAGGAGAGGGTGAGAAAACCTAGTGAAGCTGTGTTTCAAATATGCCAGGTTGTAGCAAATTTCATGAGCTTCAAAATGATGTATAATAGAAAGATATGTTTTCTTGTTTGAGAGAAAAAGTGACCGCACAAGCGAGGACTGTCTACTATATTGTATATGTACGATTATTCTACGCCTCCTAACACTATCAAAACACTACGGTTAACTGTTATTTTACACACATTTCGTAGAGAATTTCACGGGCTATCTAACCATACATTTATTTTGTCGTTTACATGAGAAAAACACCTTTTATGTAATCTGTAGCTGATCTTTGAAGGGTGATCTGTTGGCGAGGAATTACTTGGATTTTAGTCTTTACTAGTAGTTTTAATCACGAAAAGCGCGCAAAATGACTTAAAGTCAAATAGAAATACTTTTCTACTACGTATTGTCAGCTAAAAAAATAAAGTGGATCGATTATCAGCCTTATGCAGACTCCTTCTTTCCGGCTACAGGGACCCTATGTACATATTCTCACACTTATATCTACCTTTTATTTATTGAATATCAGACCGACACTTTTCCCAAGATAGTTTTGACAAACAATCGCTACTTCTAATATGGAAGATCTCAATAAATAATGGATATAAGTCGGGAGTGATACAGCACCTTGTAATCAGTATTCGTACAGAGAGGCAAAACATAGTTTGAAAGACATAATAATGAAGCAGTATAAAGTGCCAGATTACAAAGTTCTACGCTTTTACGAAACAGGTAGTCGGTTCTTAATAACTATACATTGGCATGATGTAAGAGGAACTACAGTAACTTGTTTCTGCAGAAAGCCAAAAGTCTTCTCGCTCCTTCCTCTCCACAATGAACAATGATGCAAACATTCCACAAAAAATCGAAAGTGCACTTTTTTCACATCTGATTCGATGAAAATATACTTAAATAAATGAGCTATCTAACGGCATAAAAGTTTTTCAAATTTTTTTTTTTCAAATTTTGTTTCAAAGATAAGCATCGTGAGAAAGCATATAACCTGACAATAATTTGCATTAGATAAAATTTCTTGTATTAAGTTCAACAAAATTAAAAATTAAAACGGTACAAATTATGAATCTAGACTCCTCTGGCTACGTATTAGCGAAAAATAGTTTGCTTTGAATGCAAATTCCTAAGAGAAAGAAGTATTTCCAAAGCTAATTAATCCTTCATAGAGCTATGGTCGGTGTAATGAGTTATCTATTTTTTCTCAACCTTCAAACTGTCTCAAACTTTGCACAAATATTTTTCTATCTTGTCTTCTAAATAAATGATTTTGTCTGAAAACGTTAATTTTTCTCTTAAAAAGCATCAGAGATGGCTACGGAATGATATTTATCCATGAATAAACGGTTTAGAGAAGAAAAAAATCTGACGTCATCCTGCAGTTAGAAAAATGCCCGAAATGCAGGATTTTCTCCCTCAGACAATTTTGATGCAAAATCATTTTCTTTTATTAAAATAAACAGTTTGAGGTATGGGACGTCAAACTAAACTAAAAATAATCGTATGTAACGAGGAAAAATCCAATGTCTGCATTATCTGCCAGAATTGTTCACTGTGACTCCGATTCTCGATTAACTGAATTAATTTAACAAGTGAACAACTTTTGATTAATGATACCTAGCATGCAATGGCGTGAAATAAGTACATACGCAAAAAGTTCAGCATAAAAATCAATAATAAAATCTAGATAATTAGCAGCGAGCACACGTTGGTTAAGCTTGGATTCATACGTAAATGTCCCTTCACACAATGCAAGTTCAAGCAAAACAGAAGTTTTACTCTGCTCAGATGATTTTCTTTCTACATAGCTCATTCAGTCTCTCGTACAGATAATGGAAGTATCATATAATGAAGCTACTATGTTAATAATGACTTTAGAAGAGCAGTTTTTATAACAACGTGAAAAAGAGAGTACAGTACTGCTATAAATATATTAAAATATATATAAAATTAATAAAAAATATATAAAATTCAAAATGATATTTATTGCAGTACTGTACTCTCTCTTCATACTGCATTCATGTTATCAAAAATTGAGAAAATAGTAAGTAATTCCACAATAATATAATTTTCTCACAAGAATATGACATATCACTTTCATTAAACGAGGATACAGGGAATAGTATTTGATACTAGTTAATTAGATGTCAATTAATTAAAATTGAAAATTGTGTATTCTTACTAGTAAATAATCTCATAGTACTGTCAAACGGGAAAAAGTTACTTAATAACACTTAGTTTCATTAAAAGTGAGTCTAATACAAATGTGAAATATTGTGAACAGATGAAGCAAGGATCCTATTATTAACATTTAAAAAAAATAAGAAAATTTTATCGACTTTGTGATATTGGAACTTAAACCATTTCTATTATTAAATATCGAGAAGTGACTTTGCTCTAACCCAAACAATGTACAAGAAAATACAAAAAAGCAGAAGACAAAAATTATTGAAAAGTATTTCTAATAAAGAATTGTTGAGAGTTTGAATATCATATGTAAACACGTTAGTAGTCGAAGAAATCAATATTGGTTGATTAATAAAAAGCAACAATAATTTACGCCTCATAATTAGTTAGCGATGAACGATTGTCTTTGTAAAACTAGCTAGTTGGACGGAATATCTTTTTTTACCTATACTTTTTCAATAGAATGAAAAAGCATTTTTAACGAGATAATGATCATATATAGCCATGTCATCAATTTGTCTACTATAAAATGTAAAAGTACCACTATATGTCTAATACTTATATACACACATATATATAAAGAGAGATACTTACGATGGACAACAACATGGTAAACATAATGCTCTTGTATCAGTGGCAGTTGTAGTATCACGCCGTTCTCGTAGAGGTAAATCTTCTTCAGAAAAACGTTCTAAAACACTTTTTGGAAAACCATGTTTGTAAAAAGTTTTTACAGTATCATAACCATCAATAACAAGCGCGATAACTAGACTTGATACAACATAAATAAATAGACTAATATAGGTGAAAAGATAGAGTCTACAGAATAATGAAACATAAATTGATTCAGTTTTCAAATTGGTAAATGTTGTATACATATCATCACCAGCTATTAGTGAAAACATATTTTCACATGTTGTTGTAATTGTACGAAACTACAGTAGAGAATAATGACACATTTAGTATTGAATATACATTCATTATTATTGAGATACATACTTTTGAATGATATGGTCCAAGAACAATCCATCCACAAAACATAAAACCACAAAATATAATTAATACACATAGAACATAGCGTAATAATAACGGTAATGCACGTTTTATTGTAACAAATAACAAATTATATTTTTTAAAAAAAGATAAATAACGTAATACGCCAAACCACGCAAGCAGACTGCTGATACCTAATAACAGACCTGCTGCGTCATAATTATCAACTAACTAAAATATAATGATAAAAAAGAAACAGAACCATATGGTGGAATGACTATTAACAGATCATTTTAATTTTTCTCCCCTTTTAACTTTGAATTAATATTAGTAGTTTTGCATCTGTACAACTTATTATTTAATTATCGATGACAATTATTAACAACGAACACTTGTTACATGATAAAAATCAGATGACTTACTTTGAACAAAATATAAATCTTAATTATTGTTGCAGCAATCACCAGTAAATCTGTGATAATCATAAGAAAATACCATGGACTATAAAATTGATAATATTCACTAAATTGTAATTTATTCGGTTGAATTTCTCTTTTCTTCTTTCTATTAGTAGTACCGATAGAAGATGTATCTCTAGTTTGTGTTGATATTTTTGGTCGATTTTTGACATATTTTTCATTATAGTACTCGACCACTTCTTTACATAGTCGATGACCCTGGTAGAGTGATCTTACACATAGTATAAACGATATAAAACTAATTATCAATACAAAACAATCGTACACAAGTAACAAATCTCGACGCATTAATGTCCAATCATGGGGATTTATTAATTTACCATTACATGACCGAAGTTCAGCTTGAGAATCTAACCGAACACGAATTTTTCCTGTGCGTGCATTATTATCAAATATTAACTAAAATAAACAAAAAAACGGCTAATACTATTTTAGAAATAGTCTTATTCTACAAACAAATCAAAATTTCTATTCTCTATTCTATTCTCTCTCTCTCTTTTAAAAAAACAAGATGTTTGTTTTAGAGCAGTGCGTTTTTCACCTCTATTTGAGTGACTGAACAATATCACATAAAAATATGTTTCGATAGATTTATTTACACATATTAAATATAAACATACCTTAACTTGAAAATGATAACAGTCTGGTTGACTAAACGGTTTAAGATTTTTTAATTGTATTGTATTCAAAACAAATTCAATTGTTACAAAATTAAGTCTGAATGAAAGAAGAATATTAAATGAGAAAGAAAAAATATAATTAGTTCTGTTAACATGCCTACAATAGTCAATAGAATCATTTTGTATTTTTAAATAATCTTTAAAATCAAAATTACTTGTATCATTTGAAAGTAGAGTTCTTAAATTAACCGTGTAACATTCTATAAAAATAAATAAATATCTTTAGTTATTTGTTCACATTAAATATATTTGATATTCAGTAGAATACGTACTTACTATCTTCGATAAGTGGATTTAATTGATATGTATGATTGCTTGGAAACATTATACATGTATGAAATCGATTTAGACATATTTTAACATTTTTTTCGTGTTCACTAGCGTTTCCATTGTTATGTATATTGAAACCAAATAATCCAAGTGATATTTTTGTCATATTATTGTACTAAAATAAGAATAAATCCATTATTGTATTAAAATCTTTTAATTAAAATTTCAGGTTAATGAGTTTTGATAATGATATTAAGCAAGGTCAATATGACCGACTATTAAAATGATTATGATTATAACACTTTTTTCAATAGATTCCATAACACTTACTCTATTAATAGCATAATTTATTTGATCTATAAATTCGTGATCTGTATAAACAGCATAATCTCCAATTGATTGCGGATAGGGTAGTGTTTCAAATGCTGAACTCCATTCTTTTAAAAATAAATGATGAAATGTAATATTGCTTTCAGAAATATAGATTACGTGCATTTCTCGTTCCATTCCGAATAAAATTAACTAAAAAATAAAAAAATAAGTATATCTTTCTTAGTGGAAAGTCTTGAATCAAGATCTTGGTAAGACAACATAAGAAATTAAAGAAATTTTAAGAATCCAAGATGTTGAATGTTCTGAAATTTCTTGACTTCTTTCACCAAGATCTTGATTAAGATCATAGGTCATTGAACCAAGTGAATATTATCTTGGAAAGTTTTCTACCGTTTTGTTTTACATTCTTGTTTGCACTTACATGCGAATAGCTTCATACTCAGTATAACTTTGAATTTTTTTTCTTCTTGAACAACTATGTTCAAGAAGGAAGAACCTTTGATTATATATGGGCGTATGTCTGATGGCTATGAGTGTAATACATGAAAACAAAATGTTAAAAAACTTTTTACTTAGGATTTTGACCAAGATCTTGAGTGAAAGATTCAAGAATCTAAGATCTTTAGTTTAGGATGTTTTTTTCAAGATCTTGTTCAATATTTTAGATACAAGAAGCTTCATCAGAGTTTATCTTACTTGTGTTGTAACAACAATTATTTTTAACAACTGAAAACAAGCTTTCCACGGAAATTGTCTCTTTAATCTCCATTTCCAACATGGACTCATAAAGAAAAATCGTAGTTTGGCTTTCAAATGTTTTTCGTATTCATTTTGACAATGATTAGCAGAATTGAGACCATTTGCTAAATGATTTGGTTGTACTGTAATTGCCACATTACAATGACGATTTGAATTTATAGTCGTAGTTGTTGATAATTGTTCTTCATCATCAGACTTCTCATCATTACTTGTATTAACGGTGATTGGTAAATCGGTTAACGGCATATTATGAGCTTTTGGCAGTTGAAAACTAAGCCACTAAATAGAAAAAAGTTAAATATTAATAAAAAAATTTTCTCAGATATTTTGACTTTCAAAAGTTATATATTGTCTGATAATTATGTTAAATCTCTCACTATAAACAAACTCTCTAGTACCATTATTCCATTTCGACTAATGTTTTTTCTTCATCAAAATACACTTAGTAATCTTTTTCTTATGATGTCGAACACGTCTGTTTTCTCTCTAAAACATACTACTTTTAATTATTTATTTATTTCTCTCTATTATTGTCAAGCTGTTCTTTTCTGTCTTATCTTGACAAACTTAAAGTTGGATGATGCGGCATTTTTTCCTCAACTATTAAAATAAATCAAAGACTTATCTGTATTCAAATATTCATTTTATAAAAAAATACATCATGATAATGAACATAAAACGAACAGGACTGCTTACACATGTAAACAAAGAATACTCACAACTTTTTTATCTTATCAACAATGTGTGTAAGTAGTTTTAGCTCAAAAATTTCTTTTCCTTTTCTATTTCTGGTCAATGAATTAATCTCATTTTTCTTTTTTTTTTAAACTTACTTATTATCTCAAATTTCATTCCAATTTATCATATGGTTGAAGTTATAGAGGGAATAAAACAAAAGAATGAATAGGAAATAATAAATTGTATGATACAGCATTGGATTGTACTATTACTTGATAAGTTCATAAGAAAACAATTAAATAGCATCAATTCTTATGATGAGAATCTCATGAAAACAAAAAATATATTATGTCTTTTTTCAATATAGAAACAATCCATGTATGTTGTGATTCTAAGCGGAAACTACTCTCTAAAAATTATTCGTACTTTAAAAAAGGTTTCTATTCTGGCTTCGTACTGAGGTTTTTCTAAAAAAAAAAGAGGTATTAAGGAGGAATCGCAAAATTTTGAAAGGAGGAACGCTACCAAAAAAACAGAATGTAAATCCTAAGCTAGAAACACTAATTTAACATAATAGACAGACGGAACAGCATTTGATTATATTTTGACACAAATGGACTTTTCTGGTATCTTTTGAAACTTTATTTTAAAAAAATTGAGTGGAAGAAAAACAAGTACCTAACACGTGTTAGCGGGAATGAATGGAATCTTTTTTTTCTAAAAGTTTATATTTAAAAAAGTTTATATGGAAAAAAGGTATTTACGAAATTGTCAAAAATATTCTTGACTTCAAAGCTCTTAGGCGGATCTCGAGTGGTTTTTCAGGAAGGTTTTTGGAAAATCACCTTGCCAGTCGGGGAAGCTTTAGTCTTTTTTCGATAAAAATGAGTTCATTTGATAGCTCGGGATCTCCTCCACAACGCTACGCAAGTCGCACAGTTTTCTGTTCTTCGTTGGAAACTCCTCACGCACTGAGATCCCAAACAGCACGCTTTTTGACCCGTCTAAGCTCGGATACGCATGAAAGCATGGGTTTTCGACTATGCCGAATCTCGTGGTAATGTTTGTTTTCCGAAAAAGCTGCAGAAAACTGGTGACAATCTATGCTAGATGAAATAATCTATTTTTCACTATTTGCACCGAAAATTAAAAAGCTCATAACTCACTAAAAGTAGTCCCAGACTGCTTCAGAATATCAATATATACTGAATTCTATCTGTTTAACCATGTTCTGTAGTAGAGATTAGTGCTAAGCATTCTCTTATTCCGGAAGCTTTCTAGAAAACGTTTCAAAAACCGAAGTGTTCTCTATTGCTTTTTGAAACTGTTATTGAAATTCATGGTGTAGCGCAGATACAGTGGAGTATATGTTGATATTCTGAAGCATTTTGGAACAAGTTTGAGTGAGTTATGAGTTTTTTAATTTTCGGTGCAAATAGTAAAAAATAGATTATTTCGTCTAGTATAGATTTTCACCAGTTTCTGGAAGCTTTTTCGGAAAACAAACATTGCTACGAGATTCAGCGTGGTCGAAAACCCATGTTTTCATGCGTATCCGAGCTTAGCCAGGTCAAAAAGTATTGTAAAAAAAATAAAAAAAAATATTGTTCTATGGTATATAAAAATTTTAGATAAAAGTCTGCTGTTAACAAGGAATAAAGCTGAGACTTAGAGCTATCCAATGGTAAAAAAGAAATTTTCCTATCCTTCTTTCTCAATGGCGCTACAAATTTTTTGTCCTCCATCGTACGAACACTTTTTCCAGTAACTGTAGATAAGAGAGATCTAGAGGAGTGAAAAATACACATACCAAATAGAGAACTACTGATGACTACTCGATATGCAATGATAAGTCTTATCACTGCATACTGAGTAGTCATCAGTAGTAGATCGATAGATGCTTGAAGTGTCTATATAATGTAATAAAGACTCAGGTCACATTGTAACAATCACTGTACTGAGTGAAAGATAAGAAGCAATGTATGATGACTAAGCCTTTAAGAAGGTTCTTTTATTAAACGCTGTTCCAAAACTAGCCAACTTTGTCCGTTTTCTACCAAATAGGAGGTAGAAGGAGTAGAAAATTTTATTTAGGGGGGAAAGAAGAACGAGTACGATGCAAGTTTCTATTAGTTACAAATGCAAAATACCTTTTGTCGTTTTCTAAAGTACAAATATTTTTTAGAGAGTAGTTTCCGCTGAAGTTTGAACGAACATCAGTTTAGTAGCAATCCATTATAGCAGCAGGACCCATCAGATACAACCATGCAATAAACTAACAGTTCATAAAAAATGAAAAAACTTTGATAAGAACTACTCATTTGCTTGCTCTAAGTTCTCAAAATAATTTTTCTGAGGTATAATTAACTTGTCAGTGGAAGCAGAGAGAAACCCAGTGAGAAACCTATTTGAATCTTACCAGGATCTGAATAAGTTTATTTTAAGATCTTAGTAAGATTTCGCTTACATTTAAGATTCTATTGTTGTATATTTTCAAGATTGGGTTTGAATATCTAACCTCCACTGTTAAAAATAGCACTTGAACAGATTTAACGAATGAAGAGAAATGTCATATTTTCGAGTATCCGACCATGGATCCTGGACTATCTAAAAAGTTGTTGAACAATTAGTAGGGAATAGTAGCAAGGTCTGAAAGAAAAATAACACTGTAAAATTCAGTTATTTTCGATGTTACTTATGGAGATGAATGAGAACAAAGCAAAAGGGTGAGTGAAACTAGAGTCGTCAAATCTTACTAAGATGTTATATTATCTTATCAAGACCTTAAAAGATAAGATTTAATAAGATCTTAGTAAGATAATTTTAAAAAGTGTCTAAGATTCTTACCAGGGAAGAGACACAATTATGTTATGCTTTATTTTCTAATTTTATTAATTTGATTAGCACTGCCCTAGAGATAAAATCTTATATAGGATTCCTATAGGAATCTCATGAATTTCTTAATAAGGCAGTCGATGGAAATGCGTAGAATATTAATAAGAATCTTATATAAGAAACTGTTAAAATTCCGATAAGATTCATATAATATCGTGCCAGAATCTATAGAATTCTTATATAAAATATTTTTAAGTCAACTGCATTATACGTGAATAAAATAACTTTCTTCCTATTTATTTTGTTTTTCTAGACCTTAGTCCCAAGCTAGCAGTCTAAAGACTCACCCTTATGGTCTACTGCCTGCAGACCAGATTTACTTCTCCACATACATCATGACTACAGGAAGAAAATGAAGTTTGAAAAATAAAATTATGTGAGAGAAGAATACAGAGCACAACATCTCTTTATTTGCCTAAATTCCGCTTTTTCGAATCAATCTCCAGCAAATTCCACCCCTTGCGATCCTTTT